AAAATATCATATATAGATTTTTTTTTTAAATAATATAAATGATGCTTTTATAAAAAACGATATTCGATTGTTAATAAAATCAATATTTTATTTTTATTTATTTGAAATAATTCTTAATAAAAATTGAATTTTATAGGTGATTTATATTATGGACAGAATGGAAAGGTCATATGAAATAAAGAATTAAAGATATATATTTGTCAAGGTCAAAAAAACATTCGTCAAGTGTCGTTTATGAATGTGTAACTCATTAGGTTTCATCAAAAGTAATTGAGATAAGATTTGACATAGAATATTGTTGTTATTTATCAATTTCACTAATGATTAATGATCATTTTTATTCGAAGTTATTATCAATAGTTAATCAGTGGCATTATTATAAATCTGAATTGATATTTGACATATTTTTACAAGTTGACAAAAACGTCAATCATGATCGATAAATTTGAATGCGAAATAATTTTCTCAAAATAAACACAGCTTTGATATTGATTTGTTCGATAAATTACTTTATGTATGAGAATTTTCAATAAAATTCTGATTAAATAACTTTACAATCAAAATCAAAGATATAATCTTCGTGCGTAAAGTCTTTGCACAATAAATATCTCAATTTTCTTTTATCTAATTATTTCGAGAGACAATAAAAATAAATCAGTTAGACTAACAATTTTATGCTCTTTCTTCTTAAATATTTGTTTTCTATAAGAGTCAATTTTCGAAGAGAACCAAAACGTACGTCTATACAAAAGACCATTTTTATAGGTCTTGAAAAGAGTGTTTTATTTGAACTTGAACCTGATATACAATTATTTACCTATCAAAAAAAAATATCTGAATAAACTTTTTCCTATATCTGTAAAGAGTTTTCAAAATGGTATTTTGTAACGGAGATAAAATTTTTCAAAAATATCGATATGGATATTTATAATAAAATAGATTTGAATGATTTTCAGCAATATGTGGATTTTTTTTAATAATTAGAATTGAGACACTTTTAATCAATGTCCAAATATCCTTCTAGAAACTAAATTCTGTCCAAACATCATACATGATTTTCTTCGAAAATTTACTTCTATCAAATCAATTTTTAATCAAAAATAAAATTCTGAATATATACATATTTAAAACAAAAAATAATTAAAGTTATTACTTTGTAAAAAAGACTAGTTACATGCAGGTTAGGTAAAAAAGTTCAAAACTTTCCATTGTTAGAGATATGTAGATACTCTTGTCGACATGTTCAGTCATTGTTCATTATATATCCAAATCTATACTGTAAACTGATACTTCTATTCGAAATATGTCAGATCTTCGTTAATTTATCGTTTTTTATTAGTTTCCGATGGTTTACTGACTGTTTCAATTAACTCGAATCTGTATCTATTGACAAATATTCAAAAGTTAGTTATTATCGAATATTTATATAGTTATGGTAATAGTTAACATAGATAATGTTCTATCATATATGACAATAGAAATTCCATCGCTATGTGTTCGTTTTATTTTTATATATATGTGTCTCTATATAAATAGTGATCTCTTAGATCTATTTCCATATGATCATCTATAAGTATAATTCAATGATGTTTAGTATATCTTGAGATCGAAAACTGTATAAATTAAGTATTGACAATAGTAAAAATTGCTTACGAGGGAAGGTTCCCAAGTGTTGAAACCTTTTAGATTCCATCTTTTGGTCATAAATAGAGTTCAATGAAATATGAAAGATCTGAAATGGATTCATTCCCTCGTGCCTTCATTTTCAAGATATAGAATTTTTTTAGGTACTTCGTTTCACAGCACTTAAGATTGCAAGCAAAACTGTGTTGTGGAGTTTTGCTCTGAAACTTTGTCTACATCGAGATCTCAAGTAGACTAGACTGTATAGAAAATTTTAGAATTCTTGAATATAAACTTTACCAGTTATCAATTTTTCAAGATTTTCATGTTTTCCACAATGCCTACAAAACAATGCTCATATTTTAAAAACTTCATATCTGGTAAAATTTATGTTCAAGAATTCTAAAATTTTCTATACAATCTAGTCTATTTGCGGTCTCGATGTAGGCAAAGTTTCAGAGCAAAACTCGACAAGATAGTTTTTCTGACAACCTTGAGTGCTGTGAAATGAAATACTCAAAAAAAATTCGATATCTTGAAAATAAAGGCACAAGGAAATGAATCCATTTCAGATCTTTCATACCTCATTGAACTCTATTTATGACTAAAAGATGGAGTCTAAAACATTTCAACACTTGGGAACCTTCTCTCGTTAGTGTTTTTTTTTATTGCTTTTAAATTGAATTAGTTCAGCTATTGTCGGCGCCAGAAGTAAATGGGGAAAACTCTGCGATGAATATCTTCCGAATGGATACAGCTAGCGACCTGTGGTTTTCCCCAATCGAAAGAGGAGGAGTGGGGGCGTCTTTTTCTCCGATAATGTATAGGACGAAATCCTTTTAAAACTAATTATAGTCGAAGAATATACAAAAGAACCCATGAAAATGACCTGTCAGCTAGATGAAATTTTGATTTTGACCTTTGATTTAGATAGAGGGACTTGAGATCTATAGCTCCAGATACAGCGCAAATGGTTGTCTTATTACATTCTAACATTGTGCAAATGGAATCATGCACTTACATGGGCAAATAATAGGGAATTTTGCTAATTTTTTACTAAGTTTTCGCACTTTTTATCCTAGTAGCTTGAGATTTCGATGAAAATGTAAGAAAAAGTAAGGAAGCGCATTGTGTCTGGAATTATAGATCTCAAGTTTCTCTATCTAAATCAAAGGTCAAAATCAAAATGGGGGTGTGGGTGTGGGTGTGGTTGTGGATCTTCTATTATCTCACACCCACACCCACACCCACACCCACACCCACACCCACACCCCACACCCACACCCACACACCCACACCCACACCCACACCCCATATATTTCACAATGCTTTACTTTATTTTAACATCAATTCACTCAATGAAAATTTTTGCTTTTGTCGATTTCTTTTTTTTTTCTCACTACATTTCAACTAAGAAATCGAAATTGAAGTACATAAAACATCTACACATCATGAATACACTTTGAAATAGCCACAATCTAAAAATTTAGTATACTGCATTGGTGTACGTCAAATAATAACATGATGAAACACTTGTTCATTGAGAAGATGAGAAGAGTGACTCTGTATTGTTCATGTCTGAATGTCTGTGATCAAATTTCTAAAAATACTAAATAATGCTCTCGATTACGTCTGAAAGTTTCTTTCGCTGGCACAGTAGCATTGCTTTTCGATTAGTTGAACAGACAGGCACAGACAAGTGTTTTTATGTGAATGACTCTTTCTTTCAGACAAGGGAATAATTAACTTTTGCTTTTATTATTTTTCGAAAACCTTGGATAATTGACATTTCGTTCATAGTTTGATCATATTAATCTCTTTTTGGAAACCCAAATGGGTCATACTAACAAAATTGAGCGAAAAACAAGAATTGATGTCTGATATAAATTGTAACATTCGGATAGAACATGTGAAAGACAACATTTTCTATATCTTAATTCTCAATGGCTTACACTATGTTTAGACGGCGAGTCTATTCGCGATTAAACTTATGCTTGATTAGAAGTTGTGCATGCACACGTATAAACGTTCTTTTTAATTAATCATGATTAGCAGTGTATGCATGCACAACTTGTTACGGGTGTGGGTGTGGATCACATTCCGCAATTAAACCGCACCTACACCAACACCCACACCCTCAAAAATAGATTACAAAAATTCTTTTTATTGTTGGAGTGTTTTCATCAAAGAATTATTGTCAATGTAAATTCTTTAATTATTTTAATTTATTCCCTAACTTGTTCTTTTGTGTTCTTTCGTTTTTTATTATTTTTTCATTATTTTTGCTTTTTGTCTTTAATATTGTAATGCAGTGCCCTGAAGAGTGTTTTAATATTTTAATAAATAAACATGAAACGCATCGGCGTAAATTAAATCTGCATTACTTTATTCAATTAAATTTAATTCAAGCACATTATTAATTTATTTTCAAACAAAAATTTATTTCGACTAGATCGATCGCTGAAAAGCAAAAATTGAGAGTAGCAGATTGATATATGTTATTTAAAGATATCGATTGATCTGTTTTTCAATTTATTGATTAATTCAAGTTTGTTAATATGCTTTCAAAGTATCTCGAAAACAATTCGCAATGCATAAGTCTGCGTTACATTCTGAACATTCCAAGGAAGAAACAGTCGACTTTAGGAATTCAAAAGACTTCATCAACAGAGACTTCAAAAACTTTCATAAGACTTCATAAGACTACAAAAGACTTGAAGACCTCATCGGACTACATGAGCGAAGTTCCTGCTGTTTCTTCCTTGGAATATTCATAATGGGCTCAAGATCGTTCTTTTTTTTTGGTCGTTTGACAGCCGTACTATAGACAACATATGGTCGTAATTTTTCACTAAGTGGTGATGGAAAATGACGAGCCGTCAATCGCGATTGTGTGTCAGTAGACAGTCGACTATTACCCTCATCCTCACAATTATTTCCGATTTTCAATTCATAATATATCTCTTAACTCAAAAAGAGTCCGTGACGTTAAAGTGACCATCCATCCTGAAAAGGTTAAGACGATATTCTAGACCAAACATATAGCTTTTAATATAAAATCTTATCTTTTCAAGCGTTAAAACACGTTTTTGATAATCTTCGTCTGTTTGAATATGATCACTTATTTTTATACGTACACTTCAGATATCTTGAAATTAAAATATTCTTCTCCAGACACCCTATATTTAAAATTTGTTAGTTTGGCGGTAAGACTATTCATTTCTTCTGATTATGATCAATCTCCTTAACTCACAATACAGAAACTTCTATTGTAAGAGACATATCTATTTTTGTTCTTCGAATATTCGATGTTTGCATCGATAAATATCGGTTAAAAAGATAGAAGATTGTTTATTAAAATGATAATCTGAATATATTTATTCTAACAATCTGTAGACTTCTTCATAAGCAAGAAAACATGCTGCATTAATTGGAATAGATTTGATAATACCAGGAAAAAATCCTTTATAAAATATTTTAATACTATTTTCTTGTTCATACATTTGTTTAATACAATCAAAATAAGAAGCATATTTCCGATGTCCAGGTCTTAAATCATCTGTTTGTATTTCCGATCTAATTACATCTAAAGGATGACAAATAGCCCAAGCACAAAGTCCACCTATTGCTCCACTGAAAAGAATATTTAAACGTAAATGTTTATTTTTATTTTGATTCTGAAATTTTCGATAATGTCTTTGATAAAGATGTTTTCTTATATATTCATAACCACCAAAATAAAACATTGATGTTGTTATTGAACAAATTAAATTTGATGAAAAACCTTTATAAAATCCAATTAAACCACCATTATTCTCATAAATATATTTACAACAATCTTTTACATGAAAATCAAAAACATGTGTATGTCGACGATTTAGATTACCATGAATTTGGTCTAAAATAAGACTGATTGGTGTTTGAATAAATGATAATAGAAAACCAGTCAAAGCTCCACATAACATATACTGTTTAATATTATTACCATCTTTAACAAAATGTCTTGTCATTTGTCCATATAAAGCAAATTGTGCAGATGTTAGAAAAGCTGGACTAATTAATGGTAAATTTAAATTTCCACGATAAAATCCATCGATTAAACCTTGATGTTTATAAATGACTTGAAAAGAATGAAATATATTTTGATAGACTTCAGGTGGATTGATTTTTCTTTGAATTGATAAAGTTTCTAATGGATGTGAAACAATAACAGATGTTAATCCACTAGCACAACCAGCAAGAATATCATTCCAAAAAGGATTATGACTTGGACACATCTTCTACTCTTCCTTAGTTTTTTCATACATCTGTGCAAATAGTCATGTTTGATCAATCACGTGGAACTTTTCTATTAAAACAAAGAAAAAAAAAGACGTATATAACTGACGTCATATAATAAACAAGTTCGCGCGACATTCAATATTAGAAAAATTATTCTTATTTCAAAGATAGTTTATTACAACGGAAATGTTTTTAAATCATTTTTATCAGAGAAAAATAAACCTATTCGATGATGACAAAAAATAACAAACAAAATAATGATCTACTGTCTCATGAAATGATTGCGCTTATCTTTTAGTGGTTATATCTAAATGCACTGTGCGAACATTTTTTGTAAAATGAAGCAAATAAAGAGATTTATATATATTTAGAATCATCATAATATCACTAATAATTTCTACTAAAAATTTTGATGGTCATTTTCCGAAGAAATGATAGATGGCGCTCTATGCTGATTGTGTTCCACAACGGCAATGCTTTGCTCTCAATGTGAAAAACGTTTAGAATTCATAGAACAGTATATGAGCTACATTTTATGCATTTTATGATGCGTTGAAACTGCTTATACCAACAACTTTGGTTTACTTTTCATTGTTGTTTACGCAGACTAAAGATGACGCCATTTGATGACGTCCAAATGTTAGAAAAAATAATGATGACCACGATTAAGATGTGATATTACTATTTTATAAACTATCGTGAATTTTTTATGAGATCATCGTTTTAATTGAGACAATTTTCTAGTCACCCGTAACAAGTGCATCAGTGGATTCGTTTTAGAAATGATGGAATGAGTCATTCGCATCAGCTTGTAGACTATAAGGTATCAACCATTAATCAAACCTTGTGATAAAAGAAAATATAATATTCGAACGATAAACTAATCCAATTCGTTGGTTAATAACATAAAAGGTATGAAAGATGTCAGTCACCATCGTGGTATACTCTAGAAAGACTAAAAGTAAAATGCGTCTAACACTATCGAAGAGTAAAATTGTCGAAACCAATAAGAACCGAAAAAAGTTATGTTTTTGATATATATGTGGTTTATTATCAAACTCTTTCTGGAATTGTTTTCACTACAGACAGAAAACGTATCGAATCAAATTCGAATCACTTCTTGAAAAACAATGTTGAACTGAATTGAACTCGAACTATTATTTTAAAAATGGAGTCAATTCGAATCCGAATCAGAAAAGTACGGATCCATTCGGTCTGTGGTTGGATTATTTGACGATTTTCTGCCTTGATACAATTCTGCAGCGATATTTTTCCTGTCGACCTTTCTGCAGCCAACCACCGCCACCAGTTATTGTATCCCCAGTGAAAAATACTGACAAAAAAAACGGTACCGAACGCATTCTAAATTGGGACGGTTAAGAACGCATTTCACATTGTTTACAACGGTTTTTTTCTTTAAAAAGCTAAGTTTTTTTTGCAACGCATTCTCGGTCGTTCCCATTTAGGATAATGAATACTGAATTCTACTGTTTTATGAAAGTGTTCTCGCCATTACAAGGAATAGAAAACTTTCAGATGGAACTTTTGTTATAATGTTGAACTCACTGAAACTAGACAAAGCTAAGAATGAGTCATCTACTCGACTCTTACCTTGTGATCTATATCAGTTGATTAAAGTTTTTGCAGATATCAAATACCTTTTTTGCTTTATATTGATATCTGCAAAAACTTTAATTAACTGATATAAATCATAAGGAAAGACTGAAGTAGATGACTCATTCTGGGATTTATCTGGATTTGATGGGTTGAACATTATAGTGAAAGTTTCGCCTGAAAGCTTGCTTTTCATGGCAATGGTTCCTTGGTGAATCATGTATACGAAAATAGGACAAAAAAAATTAGGTTCTGTGAAAGTTTGTATTCTTTATAGTCCTTACATATGGGCAGATAATTCTACTTTATCTTATTCTGTAGAATAGACTAAGTATAAGGTGAACGTAGGATACTCTGAAAAAAAAGAAGTTTTTCAGAATGGTACTTGATCGTAGAACTTTTAAAGTTCTGCAAAGACCTTTTCTTTCAGGATCCGCATTAAACATAGAATCTAAGAAAGTTTTCGCAGATAGATGCAAAAATCTACAAAGGTTCTACGATCGGGTGTTATTCTGTGAAACTTCGTTATTTTTCTCCCGACTATGGTGGCATAAGGATACTCTGGAAAAATAAATAGTACTACGAAGAGCCGTTTTAAGCTCAAAAATTTTTTGCCTTTTCCAATGACAGAAACATCGAAAACTAGTTCCGCAAAAAGAAAAAAGAGTCTGCCGTTATCTGCAAAGCTTTTTTTCTTCTCCAGAATCATTTGTCATGGTTTTCTACTACTCCTTATAGATTTTTAAAGTACGGTCACGTGTGACAAGTACAGAGTGTAGGGTAAGGGAATTTGCAGGAGGGTACGAAAATCAACTATGCTCTATTCTACTCTGTAACGTAAAATAAAGTAGAAATGAAAAACTACAGGGTAGAGTAAATTCAATGGACAGCAACTGTACACTGTAAACATGATCAATTGAATTTCAAGCTTCTTCTAGGCTCCGAGACCTAAAATAGTGTTTCTTGCATATAAAAACTCGGAACCTTTGATATGCAACATGTCTGACATCTGTAAGATGAGGAAAAATCTGGTATAAAAGATACAAAAACATTCAAGCTTGATAGGAACTCTTACAAATTTCGTAGTAAACCTAAGTGATCTGCCTAAAACTCTAAAGCATATCGTATCACACTGGAATAGTTTTGTATCTATTGTACCGAACTTTTTTTTGCATCTTACGGATCTTAGATAATCGTCGTAACAAAGGTATCGTCAGTGTGAGCAGGAAGAAGCATTTTAGAGCGTGTGGGTGTGGTTTCTGTTGAAGAAAAGATCCATACCCACACCCCACATTCATAGCCCATGCCCACACCACTCACACCCACACCCTCAAAGGTTAAAGGTCGAATAAGGCTATAAGGGGATAAGAGTAAAGCGGATAAGGCTATCTATATATATAAACATTATATATAGATATAGTAATATAAGGAGTATACGGAATACGAGAGTGTATAAGGACTATAGCAAGTATAAGGCTGTCTATGTATATAACAAAAAAGCACCCATACAATTTGCACGAGCTCTGACTAGTGATTGTAAAATGATGTCAACATTAAAGATGCTGCATTATCATTACTTGTTTTACTTTTGAAATTTTTTGTTAATTAACAATAATAAATAATAATGTGATTAGCTCTCCATTATTATCAATAATGGTTACGTATCACCTTCAGGTTTAGCTAAAAAAACTAAGCTGCACAATATTTCATTTTTGAATATTTAAAAGCTTTTCATATTTCTGTTTCAGTAGAAATTAAAATTCAGTAGAATTTTAAATTCTACTAGTATAAATTGAAATTTCATTTTCTACTAGAAGAAATTCAAATAACATATGATTTTAAATTGTACTTGTAGAAATTAAAATTTTAAATTCTACTAGAAACTTACATCATAGAACTATTTTAATTTCTGCGGTAGTAGAGATTCAAATATCCATTTATATTGATAATGATCTACAGAAGTACACATATTATTTATTAGTAACATAGACAGCAGCATAAGAAATGATTGAATATATCAAAAAGTTTACATCTATATATTCGAACAACATTTTCTTTTAGCAGGATGGCATTTTGTACTACACGGTACTTTAGGTACTTTGCATGGGCATTTTTTTGCAGCACAACCTCCATTATAAACACGGGCTTCTACACCTACATTAATCCCACTACTAATATAATCTTTGCAAGCTTGAATAAATGTTTGTGTTGGTAATGTTTGAGAATCAATAGAACATAATTCCAAAAAATTACATTTTGTTAAATCAATGAGATCATTAACATCATATGTTGGAGATAGAACACATTTTCTTGTGCAAAGACGATAGGTATTCCTATCATCAGATAATAATTCTACTGAAATAACTTTACATGGTAAAAATTTTGGTGGTGTGTTGGTTCTATCAACTTTATCAATTTTTAAACCAACCAAATCTCCAATTTGATATTGTCCGACTTTTTGAGTATCAGCGTATAATTTTTGTCTTTCAGCGATTTTTTTCACATATGATTCTTCAGCTTCATCTCGAATTTGTTTATATCTATCTGATGTTGAACTATCTTTATCACCACTGTTACTATCCTGTCAAGATATCATCAATATAAACGGGTATTTGAGTCTCTACTATAGTAGAAATTAAAATAGTCCCAAGATATAAGTTTCTAGTAGAATTTAAAATTCTCCTATAGTAGAGATTAAAATTTTATTTTCTACAAGTACAGTTTAAAATCATGTGTTATGTGAATTTCTTCTAGTAGAAAATGAAATTTCAATTTCTACTAGTAGAATTTTAAATTCTACTGCAACATTTATATTTGAATTGCATGGCATGACATACAGAGATTAAAGATACCCGATCGTATATGTCGTATTTGCGCATTATAACTATCCGGATAGAAAAGTTCAAGGCCGAACAAATCTCATGTTTTTGTGCTCTTCATGACTTTTTACCTAAATACTTAAATAAATATACTGCGTAAAATGCAATATACACGACAGTCCATTTGTAATATGTATGTTATGTCATGGAATCAATTAAAATTGGTTGCTTTTTTTATAGATATGAAACATGATCTGCTATTCAAAAGACAAATTTTGCACAGATCTTTATTTGGACGAGATTAATAAGTCAGCTTAGATATGTATGTGCGCAATTTGTGTTAACCACCTATACATAGAAATAGGCAGCATCTAATCATCGAAAAATGAGACATAGTTTACTATTGATTTCTATTGGGAGTAACAATACCATGCAATTTCTTCGCAGTTCTTTGGTGATGATCATTATTGGCTTTGTTCAATTGAGTGTTTGTGTACCATCAGGCAAGCAACGTAAGTAACAAGCTTCGCAAATTAGATGTACAAGTTTTAGTATTGTGTAATATCTCACAAAGAGACATTTGTGAATGTATATGGTACTGTTACATAATACTGATCTTTAACGAAACTTTTAAACATTCGATAAATGAACTATTTTATATAATGTTCTTTGTCTTCGTTTGAATAGCCGGTGCACTGTTAATTAATTCGCAATATTGGTCGGCATTGACTAACAATAGTTCAACATATCATCGTAAAAGTGGTTCAGAATTAAACTACTTCTACAAGGCAATATGGGTGATCGTATATACATCAGACATTTACACTTTTACCAGTAACAGTAGTATTGATCTTTTTGGTTATCTCTACCACGACAATTTTGATTCATTAAATCCATCGACGAATTTATTCACACAAAATGATGATGGTGCTAGCAATTTGCAGTTTCAATTCACAGTTTATCTCGAAGCGGATACTACATACATTTTGGTTGTCACAACGTACACACCAGAAATGACAGGATCCTTCTCGATTGCTGTAACAGGTCCAGATATTGTTTATTTTTATAGCATAAACACCACACAAACAACAACAATATGTAAGTAGGACAGCTGTTAATAGTGTTCCATGATATATTAGCAATGTTTGTTGCATTAGTTTCACCCAGGCCTTCTTGAAAGTTAATATTTTCAAATTTATTCATAACTCTTTGAGTGATAAACATGTTTTTAAAAAAGGCTGCTAGATAAAATTTTCTCTTATACGAAGAATGTATGTTATTAAGACTTCATTGTTCAATGTTCCTCTTTTTTTAAATATAATTTTCATTCAACGCTAATTCTAACCAAATTAAAGTACTGCCGTTTTAATCAAAACAAAAAATCGATTTAATTTTGAGTATGCAAAGTTTCTTCGACATTAGTGTATCTTATTCTGAGAAAATTCTTAAATCAGTTCCTCTTATGCGAATAATAATCTAATGGTAGCTAGCGAAACTGAAACTGAAGAATTTGCAGCCAATTTTTATTTAAATATACTCTGTAGTGCTGTATCACGTGATAGATGCACTTTCTGTCCAGCGAAGGTTATTGGCAGTTTCAGCAAACAACTTGGTCACCCGTTCGTTCTACCTTCAATAACCAACCCTAGTGAATGTACTGAGGAGGGAACATTCCCAGGTGTCACATCGCTTTTGAGTCGAGAGTATGAGTATAAGGTATATCTCAGTGAGATATGAAAAATCCCAAAAGGATAAGTGCCCTTAGGCGTTCTGTCCAGAGTCATAGGCATTTTACTGAAATTTTAGCCTCTGGTATAGTAAATACCAACAAATCGAATGGCAATATTTCGATTTGAAATTTTGCCCACAGACAGGTCTAGTTGTGAATAGGATACCCTGAAAATTTCAGCTCAAAAGAATGTTTCCTTCTCGAGATATTAAAGTCCTAAAAAACAGAAAATTCTAGCATCTTCCGTGTTATATGAGTGATTTTTGGAACTTTAATATCTCGGCAAGAAAACATTCTTTTGAGCTGAAGTTTTCAGGGTATCCTATTCACAACTAGACCTGTCTGTGGGCAAAATTTCAAATCGAAATATTGCCATTCGATTTGTTGGTATTTACTATACCAGAGGCTAAAATTTCAGTAAAATGCCTATGACTCTGGACAGAAGGCCTAAGGGCACTTATCCTTTTGGGATTTTTCATATCTCACTGAGGTCTACCTTATGCTCATACTCTCGACTCAAAAGCGATGTGACATTTGAGAATGTTCCCTCGTGAGCTAAGGGTACCTGAAAAGTACCGTGCTACTAGTATGTCCGAGAAACTTTCGGGTACTGAAGTACCTTAACGTCTTTTAGGTACGTCTAAGGTTCTCAGGCGGGTACCTTGCTGGAAAGCGTCTAGTAAATGGATACTTGAAGGTACTGATCAAATACTCAACTGGGTAGTATTGCACAGTATTTTTAGGTACCCTGTTGCCAAAATTGCAGTATGTTGATAATTGAAACTAGCCTTTGACTTTTTTCATTTTTGTTTCTCTCAAAGCAATTTATGACATTTTTTCGATTTTATTTAACTTAATTTTTCCAATTCTGAAAACTCAAGCAGATCAAATTTCGGGATCTGATTGGATTTGAGTCGGCCGAATCTCTATCAGACTACTTTAGGGTGGTCTGCTCTTAATTTACGATCAAGATCGGCACGTTCTAGACTAATAAATAGTCAAGAAATAATCTCGAAAAAATTAGTGTGAAAATGGATTAGTTTCTTATGCTTTGTCTAATTGTTTATATGGAGCCATGCGTGAAAAAGAAAACGGTGAATGAACAGTCGCTACACAGAACGCGACAAGTCTAGAATACCCTGTAGAGCTTTCTTCAGTAAATTACAGATGCGGGTACCCATACAAGTACTTGTTCAGTAAACATACTGCTATGAGTACTCAATGCGGTACCTACAACAGTATAATTCCCGAGAATTTTCGAAGTAACCATATCGGATACCTTGCCAAGGCTTTCTCCGCACATGGGTACTCTGAACTCACGAGGGAAGTACCCGAGATGTCCAACTCCATTTCGATTCATTTATACCTCATTCGATAGAGTATAATGAGGTAAGAAAAAGTCTAAAAGGATTCGTGCCCACTGCCTACTGGTGAAGAGTTATGACCGTTTTAGTGAAATTTTTATTGTAAGCTAGTCATTGCTGAATAAATCAAAATGAAGAGTTTCAACCTGAAATTTTGCCTATAAATAGCTTTAATAGTCATTAACTAGTCCTGAAAGTTTCAGCGAAAAGGAACATGCCTTCCTCAAGATATTCAATATTCAACTAGACCGGATTATTGTGTCCTCCTATGGTGAACGGCTGGGTTTTTTTGGAAATTGAATAATTTGAGAAAGGTATGTTCGTTTTCGCTGAAACTTTCAGGACTATTTAACGACTATTAAAGGGGACCCTCCCCTTTCCGAGGTTTCTCGAGAATGGCTCGACGAAAATTGTTGAAACTTTCAGGATAGATGGACCTCGACGAGTAGAACAAAGGTTGTCATAGACTCTAAATTCCCAAATGTTTCTTTCAGGGAGATTTTGGAAGCTCAAGGGTAAAAAATGACATGAAGTTTTCCTCCGCAAACATCTATACTATGTTATATATGGCTGGAATTTTTTCTGTGACAACTAGGAACAAATCTGGGTATGTCTCTTTTCTTTTTGAAAAATATCGTTCCTGAGGCTCAGGAGAAGCAAAACAATGGAGGCACTATCAAAAAACCATGAAAAAAAAAGATTATTTTTCGAAGAGTGCTAATTTTGTTAAATCTGCCAAACTTGATAGGTACAACATTTTCAAGAGAAAAAAAACTCACATCCCAATTCGATCGAAGTACTTATAAAAAAAGTTTGAGCCCAATCGGTCGAGCCGTCGAGGAGAAAAGGAGGAAATTTTCAATTTTTCGTTTGAAAAACTGATTTTGAGAAAATCGCAAAGGAAGTTGCACTTTCTGGCTTTTTTAGCACAAAGTTAAGATTTTTTTTTCGAGTTTCTTATATGCAAAAAGACAGTTTAACCTTCTTAAAATGTGCTCATTAGATAGAGGGCATTTAGATCTATGTAGTAGACATTAAAAATGAAAAACGAAAAGACTGGAAATTCTGGGTCAAAAAAAAGGGGTCCCCTTAAAGCAATCTATAGGCAAAATTTCAGGTTGGAACTCTTCGTTTTGGTTTATTCAGAAATGACTGGCTTACAATAAAAATTTCAGTAAAACGATCATAACTCTTCACTAATAGGCCATGGGCACGAATCCTTTTAGATTTTTTCTTATCTCACTATACTCTATCGAATGTGGTATGAATGAATCAAAACGGAGTTGGATACCTCGGGTACTTCCCTCGTCAGTACTTTCTCTAGAGAAGAATTATTTGATTAGAATTGGTTCAAATGACTTAACTGGTACTATCGCATACCGAATTACTGTTACGCGCTAACACACCTTCAGAAAATTCTGTAGGAGACCATTACAAACAGAATTTTGTTGTTGCTCTGCAGGACTTAATGAGTAGAGCAATGTAACAAAAGTACTTTATAACAATCTCTGGTATAAAATGAAGTTGACACTAGTTGAATCAACTAGAATGATAGATCAATCATTTTTCGTCGATTTGGTAGATTCAATCACAAATTGTTATATTTTTACTTAAATCCGTAAAAACTGTGCTAAACATCAATGGTGAGAGTCTCAACAGCTTGAATATAGAAGAAACAAGAAAGATCATATCCGTATTGAGGTTTTGAATGAAAATGTGTGTTAGATGCTGCTGAACTAGTACATTTTTTTTTGATTGTATGAAAACCAGTCTTTTGAGAAAATCCCACAATCGACCACATATGTTTTTGCAGTTACATTTACAAGGAGTTCTTTTCATATGATTTCGTAAAACATTGAATGGAAATTACATAGAACAATGAAATCTGAAAGACTGACGAGGGAAGGTCACCAACTGTTCAATCGCTTTTTTCTCAAAATGTA